TACTTTTTCAGCCCACAAATGGGGAAGGTTTTTAAAAACATGTGAAATGAGAAAGTGCAATGCATTCTCTTCAGTATATCATGAGTATAAAAAATCACAAACCTGGAAACCTCCACAGCATTGGCAGCATCAATCACAGTAGTTGCAGCCTTAGAAGCAGCCAAAAATGCAGCTTCTTCATCGTTAGAAGTCTTAAATTCCTACATAAATAAAGAAGCTTATATGTCAGAAGTGAAGGGAAAAAAAGATTTTAAAGTTTCCTGCGTTTGCATGAAGGATTGAGAAAGAAAGAGAGATAGAGAGCATATACCTCAAAAGCTGCACTCTTAACAACCTCAGCAGCAGAATCACCAGCTGCTTTTATGGCTTCTAAAGGCGCACCGACTGCTCTTGCTTCAGCTTCTGCAGCACAAACGGCTTTCTTTACTAGCTCAGAAATATCTTTTGATCCAACTCTGCATTCTTGGTAGCAATCATCATTATCATCTCGTTCCACAGAAGAAACATCAGAATTGATCCTGCCAGATGTCCTACTAGCATCAGGTACTTTTTTAACATCCAGATGTTTCAACGAACTCCTTTCTCTAGCACTCCGCCCTCTATTACCAGACATTGGTGAAGTGAGGGCATGATCAATCTCAAGAGCACCTTCATTTACTCTTCCTTTCCCTCTGGATCTGCTACGGCTCATTTTGCGTCTTGTAGAATCATCTCTAGCATTGTCATCAATCTCACCATGCTTATTCCTCCCATCACGAAAATCTAAAGCATGCCATCTGTCTTCACCTTCTACATCCATCTCATAGCCATCAGCCCTTGTAGCCAATGCATCAGGTGCTTCTTCAGCAACCCAACATTCTTCTGGTGGTGCCAATCTACTTAGGCCCCTATCATGATCTCTATCAAAAACTTGATCCTCTACAGATCTTTCATCAGCTGTTCTTGAGTCATCTAGATGAGATGTTTCCATAACTTGTCGTACCCTCGCTCGGCTTTCATCTCTAACTTTGACACCACTAGCACTAGATGCATTTTTGGCTTCTATTAAATGATTACCATCTTTTTGACTCACATCTCCAAGAACACGAATACGAAGAAAGCGCATTAGTTTTGCAGATAATCTAGCAGTGAAAACATCTTCCACCAATTGACTTCCACTGAGAAAATTAGAAAAACGAACATTGGCATATTATTATGCAAAACGAACAAGTGTATTAAGGAGAATGGTGAAAAGAGTTACAGCAGTAGCATACCCCGCCAAGCATACAGCAAGGAGTCCAGTGGAATATGTCCGTAACATTTCAGAATCTGAAACCTCTTTTCCTCCTGATTCCTGTTTCCAGTTGCGATCTTCAGCAGAAAATTTCCCAGTTTCCTCCATCACCCACTTTTTTATGTTTTCCAGAACATCATCCTCAAAAACATGAGGATACTGCAAAACATGTGGAGGTCTTATCACATTGGGTAAACTCAACAAACAGCTACAAAAATAAGATTTTGCGTGTGTGTGTGAGAGAGTGAGTCAGACAGGGAGAGAGAGTTAACCGTCCAAGTCAGTGAACAGCTTATAAGAAGTCTTGAAGCAGCAGCCTGTATGGAGGATGAGTATCTAGCGTCTGAAAGAAACTTCGAGGAAATCAATTCAAAAAATTCATCGTTCTCCTGAAGAGTAGGTGAAAAAAGTCAGAATAAGTAACATCATTGAACTAAGAATAACAACATATACCTATTATTTATATTCCCCGCCGACCATCATGAAAACCTTAAATATGTATAGAATTGAATTTGCTCCAAATCCATCTAATAACATGAATAAATAAATAAAAGAAAATCTGGATAATTCAAACTTTGGGTTACCCGGACTACATTCCCTAGCCTTCCAATGCTATGAGATCCGCGACCATTACTAGAAGAATGACCATTCTCTGCCATGTATCTGCATTATTGTGTGTGTAATAAATAAAATAGGTTCAGAACAAACGTAATATCATGCAACAGTAAACCTTAATGTCTCGTAAAGAGATAAATGGCACATACATTCAAATGAGGTAACTATTACCATAAATGAAGCCGGCTAATGAAAACTTCGAATAAAACAAATTGCGCTTAAACATACACCAAGGTGAATGGAAGCTTTATTCAAGGCCTCCCCATTATCTCTTGAGCAAATGTTAAACTAGAAATGATCTTAAACTATTAGGTTCAGATTAAATTCTATCTGAAGGAGAAGAAATGCAACCCATAGACCATCTATAACACTAGGTCATTATCCACTTTTTTTCGGCTCTGAAATTCAGAAGTCCTCCAACTCGTTGAATTAGAAACCAGGAATGCCAGCTAACTCCGGACTCCAGAAGCTGAAAACTTCAGAAATGATCAACTTTCCAAGTGGGTAATGTGGCCCACTCCATGATGTTATAATCTCCTCAAGGTTTCGTTTGATCCTTATCACTCTTTCTATTCTAGTTTTCAACTCTGAAGTTCTGTTAAGGCGGTTGACGTTAATTTTTTTATTTATAACGTTACTTGATAGAAACTGCACTGGCTCATAGCGCGAAGCTCCTCCCACGCCCCATAGCAAGAGAGAAATCAATAATACAAACACAAGTGAAAAACAACCAACCAAAGAGAAAACGAAAAACGTTGAACAGTCCCTTACGAAGACCATTCCAATGCACACTCCATACTAAAAATCATTTCAGGAACACGTTTAAACTATCATAACGTAAGAAATTCGGTTTTGAAAACAAGTACCTTCACAAAGCGTATCAAAACCAGCAAAACAACAAGAAGCACAAACCTGGATTCTTGAGTCTCGAGAAGTGATGCAAGGGCATGAAGAACGGTAGGGTTAGGGTTATCAGGCGAGGCAGTGATCTTTTCCATCAACTTATGAGCCTTGGCAATCAACTCGTCCTCTTCATTCTTAGTCTCCTCTTCATCCTCCTCCCCTCTTCCTTCTTGAGATTGCGATTGAGTTCCCGCCGTTTCCGACGGCGGCGGAGGAGGAGGAGATGGAACTGGAAGCTGTTCGCCCTGACCTGGTGCCTCGTTCGTTTGCTCATCCATGGCCGGTGGGTCCATATTTCGAGATTAAGATCCGTAACAGAAATGAAAAACAGAGAAAATTAATCGATGTAGGGCTTATTGTTTGTACAATTGAACTAGTTCATGTATCTTGTTTCAGCACATTCGGCTGTGCGTTTGTGCGAATGTCTTTGAAAGATACGTACTGTAGCTGCGTTTGTTTTGAGCCGCAGTGAAATGAAGAGAGAGAGAGAGAAGGAGAGAGAGAGAGAGAGGGAACGGCAAAAGGAACCACGAAAGGGATTGGGGCGTGGCTTTTTGGAGTTTTATAATAGCGACAAAAAAATAAATTAGTGCGAGACCGTAAATATGGATTTCGAACATTCGGGAAAATCACTACCTAGGCCTGTTTCGATATTGGGCCTACTAATTCGGCCCATTAATATCTATTCAGGCCCACGATCGCCCTATAAAGGAAAATTATTAAATTATTAAAAACAAATTAATAAAAAATAAATTTACAAATATTTGATATTTAAACTTTATTATGAATTTTTAAATAATTATATTAAAAATATAATAATCGGACAATCCAATTCAGCTCCATCCATGAGTTTTAAACTCTATTTTGGTTGTTCGAGTCACCGACCCATGTTTTGAATTGATCCAGAGGGTTTTTCCAACTCAACCCGTACATAGCTATATATATATATATATATGTATGTATGTATGTATGTGATTTGCGTTATCTCACGCTTCTTGTATTTACGGTTGAACTATTCAAATTGAAAAGTGGGATTGAGCGTCAAACCTTTGATAGCTCATAAGCGGATAATGGGAGATCATTACTCTTCCGTCATTCGTGTTTATTGATCAACGAACCTTCTCCTTCAAATTGAAGTCTAATACAATTTTAAAATCATGGAACAGTCATTGATGCTATAGTTCATGTCCCCAATGGAAGAGCTATAATGATATTACATAAATTTAAATAATTAGTTAGTTATATCGAGTTTGTCAAAAGTGTATCTCCGCGAATGTATTCCCGAAGTATTCATCTCTTATTGTTTAAAGCATATCAAGCTATCCTCTCGAACCTTTTGTCACGTAAACAAGCTCCAGATGTTTGTTAATTCTATCAACAACTAGCATCGATGCGGTAGAGACCAATACCATCTTTTTGTTAATCAAAATTGCAACTCGGTAGCTCACGAGCTTGCCACCCACGCTTAAAAACTTACATGGTTGATGTCTTGGTTCAAGGATTACCTTTCATATTCGACTGTCTTGTTACCTTTGGTCGATGCACGACTTAGTCTTTTTTTAATATTTTTCTATTATGAGTGCCGAAAAAACTCAAATCATAACAATTGGGTTGGATTCATCCGGTGGTTCACAATCATTTTTTACCACTCCCACATGCATCAAACAGTGCATTTTGTTGTTTGTTTTTTTTTTACTCGTACTTTTCTCGTGAGATAATTACAGTCAGATGATTAATCTAGTCAATAATGATTTGACTCGAGGATTGATATAGTTATTCACATAAAGACATTAACTGACGGTGCATTTGGTTCATTTTTTTTTCGTATGTATGCTTGAAAATAAAAAATAAAATTATAAAGGGTTAAAGATCGATTTAGTCATTCACACGTAATTTTGAACACAATTGCCGTTAGTTATCAAATTGTTCATTTTTTTTTTTTTTTTTTTTTTTTTTGGGGGCGAAAGTTAATTAATACGGTTAAAAATGAACCCCTGGTTAAAACGAATGCCAGCTGGCGCCCAGTCAGACCTTTTAAAAGTCCATTTTTATTTCTCAATGAATCATTTTCCTTGAGGATTTCAAAAAACGACATAATTCCTAATTAAAAAAAAAAACAAAAACAAAAAAAACAACCAAACAAAAAAGAAAAAAAAAAAACTGTTTAATTCCATTTTTTAAATACGCCTCCCGAGATTACGTAGATACCAGCACTATAAATATCAAGCATTGACAAATCTTCTTCCTTAGTCTTCGCCGAAATTCGGAGTGGGAGTGGGAGCTGGAACGAAAGCGATTTTCCTGTTCTCTTCCCCATTTTTCTTCGTCGTTCAATTCTGTAGGTTTGCTTGCGATTCCTCTTGAATTTAATCGTTGTTTTCTGTGAATATTCTTCGTAAATCACCGTTGCCGCCAATTTTGGCGATCGAATTTTGTTTTGCTGTAGAAATTGGAGGAGAATTTCGTGTTTGAGGTATTGTTTAAGTTGTTTATGATTTCTCGGCTTGATTGTGGTATCTAGGCTGGAACTGATTTGTTGTTACAGAGAAGCTTTCCGTTTGATTGTTCGATTATGAGATCTTAGTTCTATTCTGTTTACTCTCGTGATTCTTCCTCATGTATGATTTTTTTTTCTTCCTGTCAATGACTTAGGAATTAGAGTAATCAAGCTAGGATTGGAACGTTTGATGTCATTGCTTTTCGTGCGGTGTTTTTTCCCCTAATCTTCTGTCGTATCATTGATCTTCTTTGGAGCTTATAGTGTAGAATCTTGTAGAACATGACTAGAGGGGAAGCTATTGAGGAAGCTGTAGTTTTCCATTGTGAATTTGTCAAAACCATATTCTATAAAAAAACCTGCAGTCATAACATGATCTATCAGATTTGCCTTGTTTTCCATCGGTTCTGAAAACTCTTTTGTTCCCTGCAGGTGACTGGTAACATTTATCTTGGGATCAATGGCCGTGTCTGTCAAGATAATGTCTCTTACTGTCGCAACTTTAGGTGTGATATCCTTTATATTTGGAGTCGTAGCTGAGAACAAGAAGGTAAGCTTCTGTTCATAAATTGTTTGATTCTTACTGTGTAGATATTTGTGCATTTGAAACTGTCACAGCAAGAATTAAGATACGGATTGAATTGTTTTTGTTGAATAGTTTATCTTTGTCTATCCTATATTGTACCTTGAAATGTTAATTTCACATATCATTTACCTGCTTAATACGCGTTAATTGTATATTCCAATTTCATGTGTATGTTGGTGTCTAATTTAGCATGTGGCCTCATACCAATAGAGAGAGTATTTCTTGATTATAAACTCATGGCTTTGCTAATTTCATTGAGCCATACACGAACCCAGCCTATGCAATATCATATAATTGAACTTACCCTCGTGTCCTAAGGATTTTCCAAGCTCCCTCGTTAATGGGCACTGTCCTTTCTTGTTGTCTTTGGTTGTGGGCAGCCTGCATCTGGAACTCCCATCCCAGGCAAAGGCATTGTTATTTGTCAATATCCAGCGGACCCAACTGTGGCCCTGGGATATCTTTCCGTTGCGTTTCTTCTTGCTTCTTCGATCGCAGGATACTTCTCTTTGTTCTATCCTTACCAAGGAAAATCCGTTCCTCGAGGTGCCATGTTTAAGAGCAGCAGTTTCTCTATTTTCTTCAACATTGCCCTGTAAGTTCTCTTTCCAAGTCGCATCCTTTACTCTAACTCTTAGCTAAAACTTCTAAACTTTGTAGTAATTACTTGCATTATGGTTTCAATGTTATAGTTTCGTGAAATTCTTGCTTTTGTCTGAGAATCTACTCCTACGGTGTGTTGTCATTGATTGTCGTATTTATTTGATCACTTGGAATGTGTTTTTATTTTCATTTTGATGAAGTCGAACTGCAATGGATGTTCTTTTCCCCGAGTCGTCGAATGAATTCGATCCTTGGGATAATGCATCACCTAATTATCGTCTTCCTCTCCACCCTCAATAAAAATAAAATGTGAAATGGAAACGTTATCAATCAAACATTCATATCGATCAGTATGATTTTTGTAAGGCATTGTTGCATATCATTTGAATCCACCCTCTGTGTTTGCAGGTTCACAACTGGATTGGCTATAACTTTGCTTGTATGGCCTACAGTCACCGAGCAAATTCACTTGACTCGCAACGTTCATCACAATCTCGAAGCAGCATGCCCGACTGCTAAGACGGGTCTTCTGGGTGGTGGTGCATTTCTATCCCTTGATTCATCCCTCTTCTGGTTGGTTGCCCTGATGTTGGCTGGAAATGCTCGAGAGGACTACTTTGATGAAATAGAGGAAAACGGAGACAGCGTTGAGGCTCTTAAGAACAACGCATGAAATTTCTTCGATCAATGAGAATAATAATTCAGTTTCACTTTACTGTTGTGATTGACTATTAAGTAAGGACTTAATTGTAAATATGATATTCTAAGAAATGTTCATCAGTAAAATTATAGTCTAATTGTATGAGTTTTTATTTTCGCCAACTTTTTTCATTTTCAACTTCGACATGACTCAATTCTTTCAAAGTAGTTGTGGCCTATAATAATATTTTCGTCTAAAATCATAAATAAATTATTTATCGCTCAAACAAAAATTAGTAATAATTAATATATTTAAATTTTATAAAATTTAGTTATTAATGTAATGAACGGTGGATAAGTATGATTTTTTAAATAATTATACAAAAAAATTTGACAACCCGACAATCCAATCCAACTCAATCCATGAGTTTTAAACCCTATTTTGATTGCTCGAGTCACCAACCCATATTTTAAATTAGTTCAAAAGATTTTTTTCAACTTAACCCGTACCTACCTCGACACCATGTTGCTAGCTAAAATACATATAGTGAAAGGGTAAAATTGACATAAAAGTCATATTTAAGAGTTTTTTCCCATTTATATCCATACGTATAACCTCGTGTTTATAGTCAAACCAACTTGACCTAAAAGTTATATATATATATAATAAGACATGATTTGTGTTATTAATCTCTCACCATTTTTTTCGAGATATTTCAAACATTAAACATTAAATATTTGATAGCTCATAAGTTGATAATGGGAGCTCGTTACTATTCCGTCATTCGTGTTGTTGATCGATAAACCTTCTCCTTCAAATTGAAGTTTAATACAGTTATAAGAAACAGTGGAGCGGTCATTGGTGCCGTAGTTCGTGACCCTAGTGGAAAAACTACGATGACATTAGATCAAATTAAATATTTAGTTAGTTGTATCGAGCTTGTCAAAAAAGTATCTCTTCGCAAAGGTATTCCTAAAGTATTGAAGGCGCGTATTCATTTCTTACTGTTTAAAGCATATTGAGCTATCCTCTCGAACCTTCTGCCGCAAAATACGTAAACAAGCTCCAAATGTTTGTTGATTTTATCAGCAACTAGCATCGACGCGGTAGAGACCAAGACCATCTTTTTGTTAATCAAAAGTGCAACTCGGTAGCTCGTGAGCTTGCTACCCACGCTTAAAAAACATACACGGTTGATGCCTTGGCTCGAGGATCACCCTCCATAATTCAACCGTGTTATCACCTTCCGTCTATGCACTCCTTAGTTTTAGTTTTTTTTTTCTTTTCTTTTTTTAATGTTTTTCTATTAGTGTGCTAAAAAAAACTTAAATTACAATAATCTGGGTTGGATTCATCGAGTGGTTCGCAAATAATTATGAACACTCCCACATGCATCAATCGGTGCGTTTTGTTGTTCATTTTTTTTCAATCCATACCTTTCTCGTGGGATCATTACGGTCAGACACATTAATCCAGTCGATACGAGCTTGTTACTTATACCTAAAGACATAGACCTATGATGATTCGACATGGATATCACCCTTGATCAGTCGACTCTCTTGGTACGTATGCTCAAAAATAAAAAACTAAAATCATAAAAATTAGATTGATTAAGTTATTGACAGGTAATTTTGAACACGAACATGTCAAAATTGTTCATTGTTTGTTTGGGATGGACATTCATTAATATGGTTAAAAATTAACCCTAGTTAAAACGAATGCCAGCTGGCGCCAAGCCTGACTTTTTAGAAGTCCATTTTTATTTCTCAATGAATCACTTTCCTTGTGGATTTCAAAAAACGACATAATTCCTAATTAAAGAAAAAAACAACCAAACAAAAAGAAAAAGAAAAAAAAAAAACCGTTTAATTCCAGGATATACATTGGACGATACCGAGCACTATAAATATCAAGCATTGACTAATCTCATTCCATACTCTTCGCCGAAATCCAGAGTGGGAGTGGGAGCGGGAACGAAAGCGATTTCCTGTTCTCTTGCTCATTTTTCTTCGTCGTTCAATTCTGTAGGTTTTCTTGCGATTTCTCTTGAATTTCATCGTTGTTTTCTGTGAATATTTTTCGTAAATCACCGTTGCCGCCAATTTTGGTGATCGAATTTTGTTTTGCTGTAGAAATTGGAGGAGAATCTCATGTTTTAGGTATTGTTTAAGTTGTTTATGATTTCTCGGCTTGATTATGGTGTCTAGGTTGGAGCTGAATGGCTGTTACAGAGTAGCTTTCCGTTTGATTGTTCGATTATTAGATTTTAGTTCTATTGTTCTTACTTTCGTGATTCTTCCCCGTGTATGATTTTTTTTTTTTGCTATCAACGGCAAAAGATGATTCTTAAACTGGTTTGCTTAGGGATTCGAAGCAATCAAGCTGAGATCGGAACGTTTGATGTTATTGCTTTTCGTGCGGTGTTTTTTCCCCTAATCTTCTGTCGTATCATTGATCTTCTTTGGAGCTTATAGTGTAGAATCTTTTAGAACACATGACTTGAGGGGAAGCTATTGAGGAGGCTGTAGTTTTCTATTGCGAATTTGGAAAAACTATATTATGTAAAAAAAACCTGCAGTCATAACTTATTCTATCAGATCTGCCTTGTTTTCCATCAGTTCTGAAAACTCTTTTGTTCCCTGCAGGTGACTGGTAACATTTATCTTGGGATCAATGGCCGTGTCTGTCAAGATAATGTCTCTTACTATCGCAACTTTAGGTGTGATATCCTTTATATTTGGAGTCGTAGCTGAGAACAAGAAGGTAAGCTTTTGTTCAGAAATTGTTTGATTCTTACTGTGTAGATATTTGAGGATTGAATTGGTTGTTGTTGAATAGTTTGTCTTTGTCTATATCATAAAGTTAACTTACTCTCGTGTCTTGAGAATTTTCCTCGCTCCCTCGTTAATGGGCACTGTTATTTTTTTTTGTTGTGTTTGCTTATGGGCAGCCTGCATCTGGAACTCCCATCACAGGCAAAGGCATTGTTATCTGTCAGTATCCAGCGGACCCGACTGTGCCCCTGGGATATCTTTCCGTTGCGTTTCTTCTTGCTTCTTCGATTGCAGGATACTTCTCTTTGTTCTATCCTTACCAAGGAAAATCCGTTCCTCGAGGTGCCATGTTTAAGAGCAGCAGTTTCTCTATTTTCTTCAACATTGCCCTGTAAGTTCTCTTTCCAATTCACATCCTTTACTCTAACGGTTAGCTAAAACTTCTAATCTTTGTAGTATTTACTTGTATTATGGTTTCATTAAATTCTTGCTTTTCTCTGAGAATCTACTCCTACGGTTTGATTTGAAACAAGATTTCTTGCATGTTTATCAGTTGAGAGGTGTGTTGTCATCCATTGCCGTATTTATTTGATCACTTTGGATCTGTTTTTATTTTCATTTTGATGAATTCGAGCTGTAATGGATGTTCTTTTTCCCCGAGTCGTTGAATGAATTCGATCCTTGGGATAATACACCACCTAATTATCATCCTCCTTTCCACCCTTAAATAAAATGTGAAATGGAAACGTTGTCAGTCAAACATTCATATCGATCAATGTGGTTTCTGTAAGGCATTGTTGCATATCATTTGAATCCACCCTATGTGTATGCAGGTTCACAACTGGATTGGCTATAACTTTGCTCGTATGGCCTACAGTCACCGAGCAAATTCACTTGACTCACAACGTTCATCACAATCTTGAGGCAGCATGCCCGACCGCTAAGACTGGTCTTCTGGGTGGTGGTGCATTTCTATCCCTTGATTCATCCCTCTTCTGGTTGGTTGCCCTGATGTTGGCTGGAAATGCTCGAGAGGACTACTTTGATGAAATAAAGGAAAACGGAGACAGTGCTGAGGCTCTTAAGAACAGCGCATGAAATTTCTTTGTTCGGTGAGAATAATAATTCAATTTCAATTTACTGTGAATTTACTTGTAACTGACTATTAAGTAAGAACTTGAATGTGAATATGATATTCTAAGGAAGGTTCATCAATGAAATTATATCACGATAGTATGAGTTTTTATTTTCCATTTTCAACTTCAACATGACTCAAACTCAAATTCAACTCTTTTAGAGGAGTGGTAACCTATAATAATTATAAATAATAATAATAAAAATTTATTAAGTAGTTTTGAACCAAGAGCAAAGGTGGTTCCCCCAGACCACCTAGATCCCACGAGTGAATAGAAAATTGGATCTACATTGGATCTCACCTGAATCGACCCATCTATTCTCCCGAGGAGAAGTTTGGTTTCAAACCCCGGTTCTAACAGGAGAAGTACGCCATGCTAATGTGCCTTGGATGATCCACATCTCAGGGTTAGGCGCTGATGAGCACGTTAAACTATCCATGTGGTTGAGAGTCCTCACAGTTCAGGCACAACGAAGCAATTATTAGGGGCGCGCTCTACGAGTAGTATGACATAAATTAATATGTAGCATTTGCCTTTAAAGGTCTGGTTCTAAAATTCACATAGTCAATGCTCAAAAAAAAATCCTATCTTGTCATCGGACATGACGATTGAATTGATTAATAAAATATATTTCGAGTTTTTATCATTCAGTAGTCGACATGTCGTTTTACGGGTTCCGCGTAAATGTGGCAGCCAATCAAATCGATTGGGCCTCGCGCTCAAAACCCTAGCTTCTTGTTAGAAATCCCTCCACTTAAATATCGGCGCCCAAAACTTCCATTTAAAACAAATCCCTGTTTCTCCCCCCCCCCCCCCCCCCCCCCCCCCCCCCCCCCCCCCCCCCCCCCCCCCCCCCCCCCCCCCCCCCCCCCCCCCCCCCCCCCCCCCCCCCCCCCCCCCCCCCCCCCCCCCCCCCCCCCCCCCCCCC